AGACTTTAATTACATTCTGTTTTGTTTATATCTATATATATGTGTATAGATTTATGTATTTATATGATTATTTAAACATTTTTTCTTTAACATCCGACGTGCTGTTTAGTTTTACCGTTTATTTACTTTGTAACTAACCAGCAGAGAAAGTGCAATATTATGTGTATATATATATATATATAATATATATATATATATATTATAGTAAGTCTCACTCCTGCTCCTCGTTTTTTAATTTGAGAAGAAAAAAAGCTATTACTACTGAAAATACAACAAAATGTTTTTTTTAGTCCTGATAATGAAAATAATGTTTGTGTTGAACAGATCACATCACACTGGACAAACTGAACAGTGTCCTGGCGATGCTTCAAGGAGCCAATCAGAAGGCTTTGTTAACGTATATATTATTATTATCATTATTATATTTATTTTTTTCTGTCCTTCTGTCATAAAATACTGTCGTGTTTGCATGAGTTATTGAGAAAGAATAATGTTTAGTAATACTTCAGAAAGGCAGGTATTTGATAGTATTTGTTTTGTTTTATTTTACAGCTATTCAAAAGTAGACCTGCGCTCACAGGAAGCCTATGAACTGGCTGCACTGGGTTTACTGGGCCCAGAGGGGAAGTCGGCGCCGATTCTAACTGGTCTGCGCTGCATCGACTTCCAACCTCCAAACTTCACCTTAGGTAAAGACAAACCCTGAGCTGCACTATTAAAAAAAAAAAAAAAACACCTCTTTATTTACTCACCTGCTCCCCCTGTGTGTCAACAGAGGTGCAGTGCATAAATGAAACGCAGAAATATCTGCGCAGAGTCGTGCACGAGATCGGACTGGAGCTGCGCAGCACGGCAGCGTGCACGGGTGTGAGACGCACCAGGGACGGAGCCTTCACCCTGAGGCACGCCCTGGTACGGCAGCGCTGGACCGGCTCTGACGTCAGGTCTGCCATTCAAGAATACCGCGCTCTGGAGAAGAAGAGTAAACGGAATCAGTCGCCGATGAAAAAGAACGATTTCCGGTCAGTGGAAGAGAAGAGAGAAACTGTGAGTCAACGACATGGAAGCAGTGAGATAACAGTGGCAGCAGGAGGTGAATGATGAAGGTCATGACCCTAATTATTAACTGTAAATATTTATAACTTAAACTCACTAAATTAAAGTGCTTTTTATGTGACAGACTGTAAAGTTGGGTCTTTGTAGAAAGTTCTGGTCTGAATGGTTTCACAAGTGATGTTTCATGTTTCAGTTTTGTGGAGCAGAACTGAAATATGAAATAAATTCAACCTTTTAGAACTGAACTAATCTTCTAAAATAGGTGTGTTTATATCGTAATGCCACAAATTCATTCTCAACCTGTAATTCTTACAGAAATTAGTAGAGGAATATTGGACATCTTTCAACTTTACCGCTAGATGGTGCCACATCCTACGCTTCAGTATCTTTTATTTTTGAGTGAAGTTCTGCAGGTTTTTTGTTGGAATTTAAAGACTGGAATGTGTTGTTTTTGTTAACGTTGATTGTTCTGGACTTTAGTGACCAGGACAGGATGGTTTTAGTGACCAGGTTAACAGACACTTTAGTTGTTAGTTTAGTTGTTATTCCAGTGCAGTTCCATTTGTTGTCCCTTCATCTTCTGGTCATCTGAGAACGTGTTGTCTTTGTCAGTCGGAGAACACAGAACACAGAACGTTCACAAGTTTTTGACATGAACGACACAGAACACAAAATCATTTTCATTACATTCTGTAAAACAGTATTTTACCTTCATGTTGAAAGAAAGAGAATATTTTTTTGAACACATTTTTATATTTTT